TAAATGTTAAGTTCCTTTTCTTCAGGCCGAAGACCCGTTATATAATTTGGAAGACTATATATATAGAAAATAATTAATAATCCCAATTTGGACAGAAATGATGGAGCTGGTTACAATCATCAAAACTTTTGATGGCAATCAAAAATATTTCCACATTGATGATATTATCTAGATGCTATCAATTCCATCATCAATTACCATAATAGTAGTCTTAAATAAATAAAATAAGCCTTTGAAGGAATGTGACATATGTGACAAAAAGCCCTGCTCAGTGTATTTGACAACTGTTATGCTAGCTGTAGCTAGTTGCATTTGTAAAAATATAACGCCTATGGCTCGGGAAGACGACATCCCAAATGCTCTGGCCAGAGCCGCAACGAGTCTTTTTCTTTTTCTTTGACCATTCGAAATACTCGGCAAGAAAACCCTCGAGGTACTCCCGTCGTTTGCCATGGAATTTTCCTGGATTGCCTCGCTTTTTGTTCTTTGCTCGTGACTGGACACCCTCATTGTCGGAGCTGGCTGGAGTGCGCTCAGGCGAACGCGATGGCGACGTTTCACGGCTTTCGCTGACTGCCATTGTTCCTGGGAGGGCACGAAAGGGAAGCGAATTACTCTACATTTCCATTGGACTGGACCCACCTCTTGGTCACCTCTTGGTCACGTTTTATAAACTTCCATGCTTCTCGTCGTCTTCTTCCCCCACTCTATCTTCAGCCACTATGTCCATTGCCTCGACGCCTGTTCCAACGACCGCAGCAACGATTGCCCCTCGTCTCGATCCCAATGATTGGGTCTGTATCTCTCGTCGTACACCTCATCTGAAGCTGATGTTTTCCAGCCTCGTACTGTCTGCGTCTACGTCTACTTCACTGGAGGAAAGCGTGGCCGTGTACAGCTCAAGCCCCTCCGCCCTCTCATTCCACGACCCTTCGATGTCTATTGTATCATGGGCCTTCTCGAGCCGTATTGGGACTGTCCAGGCTTCGACTGTGAGGAGTGTCGCTATCTGCGCACCTCTCTGCGCGGGGAGTCAAAAGGTTATGCCTTCACTATTGTCGAATGCTGCCGACACAACCGGGGGGACGATGATTTCAATGACGAAGCGGGGAACGCCGCCGTTGCGGCTCTCTACTCTAACGACTATTGCCCAGTCGAAGGAAACGTGGTGGTCATCAAGCCACGCGGACGACGCTAATCTGCCCATGTCGCTCCAGTCAACGCAGCTCCTCAGCATCCAGAAAGACGACATCGAGCTCATTCATGATTTCGTGCAGCAGTGAGCTTTTTTCTCCTTTTCCTTTCACAGACGGCTAACCAGTTCACCGGACATAGATGGGGTCTCGGAGCTGTGCCAGCAGGGCCTCTTCCGGCGAACACGTTCTCGCTTGCGGCTCGTGCGGAAAGTACGCATGCAGGAAGCTCTTCTCAGTAGTTAGTTTGTAATGCAATCTTCTTGTCAAACGAGTCATAGCGTAATTACTTTTTTTGGATGTTGAAACTTAATTTCGAGCCGGTGAAAATTCAGAAAGGACTAGCATTGTGGCGATGGTACAACAGGAATGTCAGGATATAGCAGTGTCAAGAAATATTCGGACAGTTTTGAGCTCACTCCTTCACACACTCGTAGACCCACTGGCACCCAGCGCACAGGCAATGCTAGCGATGTGCTCGAAGTTGGGCGAACTGCGGATGCGCATGGCGGCGCGCGTTCGACCAGAAAGGCGCTCCCCTCTGATGTAACGAGCCAGCTCTGGACTTCGAGAAGTGTAAGCCACAAGAAGAACGTGGGCCGAGACACGACTTACAGGCTACTGAAGATGATGTTTTCTCCCTCGATGCACCAGTAATCCGAAGGTGGCGAGTCCGCGGAAACTTGAACGCCGTCCATATTTACGTCGTCAACAGGCTCTGACTTGGGCGCAAGAGCGGCTGTAGAAGCCGAAGGCGTCCAGCCAGAAATGCTTGCCGCCCATTCTCCAACGCCACTGTCAGCCATTGACCCGAAGGTGAAGGTGGAGCTCTGAGTGGAGTTCACCGCAAGAGAAGAAGGGGGTGCCAAGACATCGCAAACCCGTTGCTGCGCGGGCGGGGGAGAACTCGAAACATGTTGCTGCGCGGGCGGGGGAGAACTCGAAACATGTTGCTGAGCGGGCGGGGGAGAACTCGAGGGTGGCTTGTCCGCAGGGAAATCGTTGTTAGACGACAACGCAGGGGAAGAGAGTGGGGAACAGAGGATTTGTGGCTCCAACGCGTACTGCGTCACCAAGAGGAAGCGGTCATTGAACGAAGCTTCGTGTCGGTGTTCATGGACGCAAAGTCGACCCCATTCGAATAGCAGCTCAGCCCAGCTCGTGCAGGGCACCCAAATGAAATGTTGAGGCTCGTTGCCTTCCGCAAAGTTGACGCGATGAGCATGGCCACTAGGCGGAATGAGTGATTACCTATGCAGAGGAGCGACAGTACACGTACCCGCTGCTAAACGCGCCAAGGACCGCTCCGCGAGTGACCAAGGCAAAGAGGTGGTGGGCATTGGGATCAGAGGGAGGTTCTTCAGACTTGCATAGGCCGTGGTATGGTGGGACACAGACAAAGTAGCCTCGCAACATGCTGGCGATAGTGGGGGGGAAAAGGTAAGTTGGAAGCGAAGCCTTCGCAAGAGCAAAGGCTTCACTCATGTGGGGGGTTAATGCGCAAGCTAAATCGCAGATCCTTCGAGAAGACACCGATCAAGTCGCTGATTCATCAAGGCCGAGACACCGATCACAAAATTTTCAGCGCTCATCTTCCTTTGCAACCCACCTCCATCTTCCCTTCCTGCGACACACATTCTCTATGCCCACTCATGCCGAAAAGTATGTAACCTCCCCCTCCTCATCGAGCATACTCTCAGTACTTGCCAATAGCTCTCAGTTCAGCTTCAGCCCCTCTCCGGAGATCTTCGAGAACACGGACTTCCTATCTATCCCTCGAATCTATACCTCTCACTACGACATCAGATGTCTATTCCTCGCTCAGCTCACGATGCCCAGTGACGGCGAGGGTGTCGAGCGCGCCTGGTAAGCCTGTTGTTCCTCTCAAGGGTTTTCAATATTGACATGCAGCAGGGAGAGCACTGAGGCTCAGAGTGCGGAATCGCAAGAAGGACACCAACCAGCGACAAACAACAACGGACGAGCTAGCAACGGAACACCGACCCGAGTCATCGAACGCGATGCAAAAGCAAGAAACGAGGGTGGACCGACAGATGCATGAGAGTGTGTTACATTATCATAAAGCTCCATTGGTGTTCACGCTGACAAAGTCTCAGGCTACAACTACTTCCTGAAGGAGGCCTGCCGGCGCCAGACTGAATCCTTGCGACAACGTAACACCCTCTCTCAATTCATTCGCCAAATGCAACGTCTTGCCAGCTTACACCCGGAGGAGAGACAGAAATGCGAGGACCACCTGCGCATCTTGGAGGCAGAGCGAGACGCGCTCCTCGATCTTTACGAAAAAGCGCGTCAAGACGAGGAATGGCTTCTCAAAAACACGACTGCATCTATGTTTTCTTGGTAGTTTTTGTTTTGTGTTACTTTTGCTTTTGCTTGCAGTGTATCCGTGCTACTTGTACCTACGACCTCTACTCGCGCTACCTACCAAAAATGTATCATACACACCAAACTGTATATAATAGTCGGTCTTGCGCAACTTTGTCCACTATGCATGAGCGTCAAACCAGCAGACGCGCATTTTTTTCGGCGCTTAGTGGGCGCTTAACGAGCGCTTAACAGGCGCTTGACGAGCGCTTCAAGCCTGTGAAGGAGTCATCACAAATTGAGCCCAGGAAAACCTCATAGACTCTACACAATTAAAGCCGGAAAAATCATATAAATAATCTCATAGAGTGCCCCGAGAATAATATGTGAAAATTGGGATAGGTTTTAGATTCAGGTTTCTCGAGGTGCAATCGAAAGGTCATGAAGGCGGTTAGATCTGCAGTAGCAGCTAACAGTCACACCTTCATTCCCTCTTTTTGCCTCTCTACCTCCTCACGTCTCGGTCTTTCTCCCCCCATGCCTGCTCGAGTGAAATACCAAAACGACGAAGAGCGTCTCCAGGCTCGGCGCCAACAACAACGTCGATATGCTGCCAGCCCGCGGTATGCTTCTCTTTCACCATCCCTTCCTATCATAACTCACTTTGAGCTTTAGTGGCCAGCTCACTGCTGCGGCCAACTCTCTACAACGCAACCGCCGCAAGCTACCTCGCCCTCTAGGTCGTAAAGCAAAGCTCCCACCTCCACTGCTGCGGACACAAGCGGTCTTCGACATTCCTGACGACGAACCTGGTTTCCATTACCACCTCAACGACTTTGACATGGACACAGCGGAACGGGCTACCAGCGAGGTCTTTGCTTGGTCCGGTTTTCCATACGCTGTTCCCCAAGAGACTCAGAACGACACACTGGACCGCGCATCTGTCTCGTATCAAGAAGCCACTCGACACATCGAAGTCGCTGTACATGCGCTCTACCTCCGTGCAGAACGTGAGTCGGAGGCCAATCTCCTTCAAGAGATCAAGCGTTGTGAGGAGGAAGGGCATCCTGAATGGGCGGTGGCTTTACGACGAAACACCTATGACGGTGCTTATCTGCAATGGCGGGGAGGGTTGCGCTATGTCGGTCGATATTCAGAGGAAACACGTCCTCGGGAGGTTGCCATCCTTCGTATTCATTGTCAATGGAGAGCGCGCTCGGCTCTTCGACTCTACAAGTGCACTTACGCCGTCGAAAATCAGTCAACCACATAGGTCCGATTTCACATTATATTTGCCTTGTTTTCTCACATCTTTCTGTAGATTATTTCAGATGCTGGTGGATACGCGGGTACGGGTTTTCCTTTGTTTACTTAGTGCAGAAGCGTCAGCTACTTGTATATAAGTAATTTCTTGACAACACGATTTTGCCCTAGACCCTAAGCTTGTTGACGACCATCAGTAATAGCACGTGACCATCTATGCCAGCTACTTTCCGTTCCAGTCGTCGACAACTCGCTCAGCCTGTAGCTGTCCACCGGCATGAGCACGTTGTGGTTGTCGATGGCTCACGGGCAGCTGTCGCTCCCGAGGTCGAAAGCGCCGTCCAACGTGTCTCCGCAGACCTTCGAAGATCCTATACCTCCCCAATCACCGTCAACCCATCTTCCCCTCTCAAGAGGCTGCGACTAGCAGGGCCTTCCCAACCAACACTGCTGACAGACACCCTTAACACCTTGGACCACAATTTGTATGTCATGGGCCAAGGGGACCACGACTGGGCCGATCCAGACGCTGATGTCCTGGAAAACGAACTGAGCGAGCGCATTCTAAGACCTTCCGTACGCGAAAACCGTTATCATTGCCTCGGCTCACATTACTACAGGATCCTTCTATGCAGGAGTGGATGCTACACCAACGCGATGCATACCTGAAAATTCTTCTGTCGCGAGAAGGAAGAGGCCAGCAGGCGGATTTTTGTGCAGAATGTCAAGAAGAAGGCCCGATATATCGTTGCGAAGAGTGCTTTGGTGGAGCATTGCTCTGCCAAAGCTATTGTTCCAAGATACATCAACGACATCCATTGCATATCATCAAGGTAGGCCTCCCATATTTCTCACCCGCCACCATTCTTACGGATTTCGCGCTACAAGGAGTGGACAGGCATCTACTTTTGCGCGTACCTCGCTCAAAAGTCTCGGTCTCCGTGTTCAAATTGGACATCCTGTTGGGCAGCGCTGCGACCGACCCATCCCTGCTTGGGAAGGCTTCGTTCTCCTTCACATCAATGGAGTTCATGACCTGGCCGTCAACTTCTGTGGGTGCCATAAAACAGAAGATCCTTATTACATCCAACTTTTGCGAATGGGCTGGTATCCATCCATTTTCGAATCTCCTCGAACATGCGCGTCTTTCGCGATGTTGGATACTTTTCATGCGCTTACTTTGTCGGGCAAGATAACGCCCTACGACTTCTACCACGCGCTGGAGGACATCACAGATGGAGCGGGCACTAAACCACCAAATCGCTATCAAGTTTTTTTTGCGAATAGCACGGCAATATCGTCATCTCCTCCTACTCAAGCGAAGCGGCCGGGGGCACGCTGAGGGTGGCGTCAACGCGACTGCTCCTGGCGAGCTGGCTGTTAGATGCCCTGCTTGTCCGCGACCCGGTGTCAATCTACCTGACGGCTGGGAGAAATGCTCGTTTCAGTTTTCATCATTTTTTTTCACTCACCTCAATCAGTTGTATCTATATCTTCTTCCTGGCTATTGACGCCTGCTTTCGACTTAAACACCGTGCCATCTCCAACGAGATCAGGGACCCGGGTCTGGGAACGGGGTGGGCATATATGGTTGAATGGGCGCCATATCGAGAATATCTTACGACAATGAAGGATCAGCGCGAGGTAAGTATTTGTTGTTCGGACTGTCCTTTTTTCTGACATGTCCTTTAGATGAGCTCTTGTAGTGGCCTCGCAGTGCTGGATCACGCAAACAGCAAGTTCTCGCGAGGCTACAGCTGTACTGGTGTTGGTATGGGAGTATGTGCCCGACATGAGTTTGTCCAGCCTAACGGAGTTGTTGATCTCCAGGCCGGAGAATGGTGGGTGGTGTCTACCAATCTGCTTATTGTCTTGCTTACAGTTTTCATTCAGCTATGCCAACATGGACTGGCTTTTCAGTTCCATCGTTCGTCACCTTCATATAGCGCTTCGCCTAATGGTTTCTTATGATATTGCCTGTCAATGGGCCAAAAATCTTCGTTCGCGACTGGAAAAGCTGCCACCAATGTTGCGTCTCTCGCTCGTCCTGGCTCTTATTCGCTTTGTTGTCCCCAAGCTCCATATCCATGGACATACTCTTGCTTGCCAGCTTCTTTACTCGCTCAACTGGGTCCCTGGAAGTGGGCAAACGGACGGCGAAGGGATTGAGCGGCCCTGGAGCATGATAGGCGGCGTTGCGGCAAGCACCAGAGTCAGTGGGCCTGGAGCACGTGCAGACATTCTCGACGATCATTGGTCGTTTTGGAACTGGAAGAAGCTGATCGGTTTGCGTGCGTCTTCCTTGTTATTCATGCTCCTTTGACTAATGTGATTGCTGACAGCAACACTTCTCCGCAAGCGACTGGACACTGCCATTCATGAGTTGGCGCGTCAACAAGAGGCCTTCCAGTCGTTCTCGTCCCAGCAAGCGGATAATATATCTCGATGGAAGGCCTTTGTGGAGGACTTCGAAGCAGATGGTAGCAAGCCAAACCCATATCAAGCTACAGTCAAAGGTCAGACACTTCCTTGGCGCGTGTTCCTTTTGAGAGTGACATCCTCATTTCATAGGCGCTACAGAGGCTCAGGTCCGCACAGACCTGGATCGTCAAGACGAAGAACAGCAAGCCGCAGGAATTCGACCGATCCATGATATAACCCCCGTCCGCTTTTATTGGAGAACTTTTGGACATTGAACAGGAGCAGTAAGTGCTTGTTCATATGTGATCTAATTGCATTATTTTTGACTGTGAATCAGACGTCGCCGTCAGCGCTTATGCAGAATTAAAAAAGTCGAAGACTACTGCAATGACTTTCAACTTGCAGAACTCTCGTCGGGCCCTCAACAAACGTATTGACCGACTTCGTATTCTGCAAGCCACCTACACACCTGCCTCGCTACAGCAGCTTGCCGACCTTCGCCTTCCCCAGAACACAGTCGCCGAAAAGGTTCCATTACTGCCTCCATCGGTCTTGACGACGACTCAGCGGATGAACGGCGGTTGTGTACTTGGGCTTGTTGAAATGGAGAAGGTATTGCGGGATGCACCGTGCTGGTCAGCTTGCGCAATCAGCTCCACATCAAGTACCGACTTCTTCTCTACAAACGGACTCAGTCTCACCATCAAAAAACCAATACTCGCTCGCGAACCCTTGTAACGCGGAACGAATACAAGATCCTTCTCCATTCTTGGAAATATCAAGCCGCGCATTCAGCTCTGGTGGCAATAGCCGAAGGGAATACGTCGGAGGTGTCATGGCCGTGTCTCCATAAGGACGATATTCGCTGTCTCGAGGACTCCGACGAGCTGGCGAAGAGGGAAGTGCGGGAAAAGAAAGCTATCTTGCGTCAAGCACAACGAGACGAGGCTATGCGCAAGGCCGGAATAATACCGCTCTTGTCAAATCGACGGGATAGTCGGCAGAGCGAATCCTCGGACGAAGAAGACAAGTCCGAATTCGAAGAGGAGCCTCTCACATTACTCGAAACTTTTGGCAGCAGTGTTACGAGTACGAGCTATGATGGGGCTGCTATCCAGCATGGAGAATCGCGCAGGACGGTCTCGTGGATCTGGTCAATGACCGGAAGGACTGAGACAAATGAAGAGATGAACGAAGGTTAGTCACGTCAGTCTACCCTTTTAACCTAGTATAATGACTCTTGAATCAGCGCTGCGGATTGAGTGGGCGAAGGCTTGGGCTCGAGTTCATCGCTGGACAGAGGAGGTTGCGATCCTCACGGAAGAATGGCGCCCGCGTGGCTGTGTCCTTGGACTACGAAGTGAAGAAATGGCACCAACGTGCAACAGCGGTGCAAATCTCCAGCGCCTCCGTGGCGAATGCTGAAGGCCTTATTGCCTACGCCGTCAAACAAGCCGACATCTACCAGAATCTTCAACAGTGGGCAGAGGCTATTCGGACAGAGCCGAAGCTTCAGAAAGGGGTGCGGCAAAATCGGCCGGGCTATGTCTTTCTGAAGGCAAGTGATATGGGACTGGAGGACGGTGATGGTTTCATTGAAGATGATACAATTGACGAGAGTGGAAATTTTGATGAAGAAGAGCTTTTGATGGCGGGAGTAGATATCTGATTAAATTATATATTTGACTTCAGAATGGCTGTATATAAGGTTCTTCTTGCAGCCTGTGGTATTTCAGTTAATTCTTGCTCTATTGAATATATATATAGATTCCCTGCTGCTTATTTTGAGCAGCTGGTCCCTATCAATAGTATTTGATGCCATCAATTATTTCTTGCAAGGCCTGGTATTTTATATATTCCCTGCTGCTTATTTTAAGCAGCTGGTCCCTATCAATAGTATTTGATGCCATCAATTATTTCCTGCCAGGCCTGGTATTTTTATTTTATTTTCTGCTATTTTCCTGCCAGGCCCGGTATTTTTTATTTTATTTTCCTGCTATTTTCCTGCACGGCCTATCTTTTGCAAAAGATATCCATTGATCCATTGATCACATCAGATGTGGGACCCGGCCGGGGGTAGGCCCCTGAGGTGGCCCATATCTTATGCATTACATTCTGTGGACCCCACCCACATTCTATGCATAGATTTGGGCTTACAGGGTGCCATTCTTCCAACCCCTTCCCTTCACCCCTGCGGCCCTACGCAGCGCCCATTCGATCCGCCCTGGGACCTGGCGCCCATCCGATCCATCCCTAATATCGTAGCGTATAAAAACTGTACTTACAAGATGTAGTCGCTAGGCTAATATCGTCTATTCTCCGGGCGAATACCCATCCCTCGTGCTCCTCAGACCCCTTCGAAGTCGGACCCCCCGACGCCCCGATACGGCCCGAGCCCGACGTTGACAGAATATTAGCCTCCCCTACGAACGCAAGAAGCGCGACAAATGTCTACCGAGCACGACAGTACGATGGGCACCCCCGCAAACCAGGGGGACGAATGTGCCCGATTCATGGCCCTGGGCCATGACGAACAACAGGAGTTCCTGTTCGCCCATCTGTTCCGAATGAATCAGGAGATGGAGCAACTCAAGGCGGAAAACACCGCCCTGACGAATCGACAAGTGGTCCTCGAGGCCGAGCTGTCCCGAGTAAACGGGGAATATGCAGCTGTACAGCAGGGAGTCATGCAGAGCTACGATCTGCTCCGCCAAGCCAGAGAGGACTTGGCTCATCGGCCCCACGGGGGAAACACACGAGTAACCGTCTCTCCCCCTAAGGAGTTCACGGGCGACGCCAGCGAAGTAGACGCCTTCCTGGCCGATCGTTGGTTGGCCTTCGAAGCCAACCCGAATGTTTACAACGATGAGGTGCGAAAGATTTCGTACGCACTCTCCTATATCAAAGGCGGGAACGCGGTCACGTGGAAAGAAAACGTCTCCCAAGCCATGAAGCTCCGTACCGCCGCAGCCTATACTACGTACGAAGGCTTCGAGAAAGCCTTCATCGCGGCCTTCCGCGGAGAAGCTCACGCCGAAATCGCGCAGCAGAAGATGGAAACCTTCGTCCAGACCAAAGACATGGACGTGACTAGCTATTTCACGGTCCTCGACTCTCTCAACAAAGTCGCACACTACGACGATGTTAACCTTATTCGCGTCGCCAAGAACTGTATGCTCCGGGGCGTTACGAACGCGGTCTACCGAAAGGACACACTCCCCGATACCTACGAGGCCTGGAAGGCAGAGGCCATCAAACAAGACGGCGCACTCCGCCGCTACCGCATTTTCGACGAAAGCCACAAGGTTAACCACCCTCGGGCCAAAACGCCCCCGACGGCACCCGCCCCGCCAAGAGCGGGCTCAGCAACCGCAACCCGTTCAACGGTTGGGCCCGAAACGCAGCGATCAGCGCCACTGGACCGACCGTGGCCGCACCCCGAGGAAACGGGGCAACCACGGTCGCCGGACCCTCGACGGGACCCGCACCTATGGAGATCGACCGGGCCCAGGCCCCCGCTACGGCCCGCAGCACTCGCTGCTACAACTGCGGTCAAGAAGGACACATCAGCCGGATGTGCCACCCGTAGGTGTAAGATTTAGCCTAGGGTCTAGGAATAGCTAGAATAGCGGTAGCCTAAAACTCTAGGAAGACTTTTCCCAGCCAAGAAAGACTTTAAAAATGGGGTATTAATACATCAAATTGATAGATTCGATGCTAAAAATACTATATATAGTAATGTTAACTCCTTTTCTTCAGGCCGATGACCCGGTATATAGTGGGGAAGGCCTGTGTTCAGGATTAGAATAATATTATAGTAATTATGCTGCTAAAACATAGGGACTAGGAATACCTAGATTTCTAGGCTACCGCTATTCTAGCTATTCCTAGAGCTTTTTAGCCTAAATATTACCACTACGGCTCTCACGACGACATCCGTGCTCACATCAATGACGATCCCGCTGCTGTCTCCGGCCTTGCTGCTGCGAAATCTGGCAATTCCTCGCGCTGGAAACTTGATGACACTGGTCTCTTACGCACTCGTCTCCAGTACATCTCCGGAGTTGCGACTTACTGTACTCCGACACCATCACGACCATATCCTCTCCGGTCACTTTGGCCACAATCGTACTCTCGCTCTTGTCCGACGCGAATACACTTGGCCAGAACTCAGAACCTCGTCAAGGACTACTGTGCATCTTGTATCACATGCAAGCGCAACAAGAAGCCAAGGCATTGACCTTATGGTCTGTTAAAGCCTCTCCCCGTTCCTCTCCGTCCTTGGGATTCTATCTCTATGGACTTCATTGAGCAGCTCCCCACATCCGGTGAATTTGATACCATTCTAGTCATCGTTGATCGTGCCTCAAAACAGGTCATTTTGATTCCGTGCGACACTCACATTTCATCTCCGGAGCTCGCTCGACTTTTCCCCATTCACGTCTTCTCGAAACACGGAGTCCCATCCCACGTCACTTCTGACCGCGGAAAGGAATTCGTGGCCTCTTTCTTCCGTTCCCTTGATCGGAGGGTGGGAGAAATCGGAGGATCTCCCTGATGAGTTCGTTGGAGACAGGCAAGTGTGTCTACACGTGTAACCAGCGTGTGTTCCCAGTGTTGATGGCTTGTCCTTGATGCGAGCCTGCAAGCAAGAGGACAAAGCCGGCTAGCCAACGAGTGCGGAAGTGTCTGTCTATCTGATCGGATGGATGACACAAGTCATATCTTCTTGACTTCCGCACTCGTTCGCTTCTCACCCACCCACCCACACCAAGTCTGAGCTTTCAGGTATGCCCTCGGGAGAGTCGGCATCGGGATTCGGGAAGCCCCACTCACAGAGCCAAAGTCTCACAAGGATGGCAGTGTGTGTCATTTTGATGACGTGGAGCAGGGTCTGGGCCCGGGAAACTGTTGTCCGGGTTCGTGCGAGTCACACGTGCGGCACAGCATGGTCCGTGCGCGCTTGTCCACGACTCCACGTCAATCGATATCACGCGACAACGACTTCTTCCTTCCCATCACCATCTGTTTTTTCTCTACTTTCTGAACTTCCGCCCTCTCTCCTGGGCGTGTGTTCCCCTCGCATTGTCTGTCCTCTTGCGCAGCGACGTCCTGGCCCGGGATCACACTGTCGAGTTCTCGCCGACCCGAGTCACCCAAGTAAGTACCCGCAGTAGGCTCCCGAGCAAACATTACGACTCACCACACTACTAATAGTCGGCCACATCCACCGAACTTGAATCCGACTCGGAGTTCCAATTCTAGCTGCGATGTCAAAGCTTCAAAGTGGCAATACTTCGCATGCGCCAGTGAAGAGAACTTTCGCGGGTGTTACGCGCGAGGCGGGGCAGTAGGCACTTGGCAAGACCCAGGCTCCCGTTCACCAAGACGACTCTGACGACAACAGGCCGTAAGTACTCAATGGCCGCAGACACTCGCGCTTGCAGGGTGATTTCTGGTGCGTGGCAGTCGCAGCGCCCTGATTGCTTTCTGATAGCGGCTTCTACCTCAGAGTCAGCCACGTCCGCGGAACTTCGCAATTGGAGGAGACGGATGGGCCTTACGCGCTCCTGGAATTGCGATCTGCTCGCACGAAAGGACAACATGGATTCATGACTTTTTTGAGCGGACCGTAACGCTACTCGCCACGGCCAATGCCAAGGTTTAGTCAACCCGGCGGGAGCGTGTCGACTCGTTGCTCTTGGTTGCGCGTCTGCTTTAACGAACAGCCTGAGGCCGGGAGTTGCTGCTACGCATGCCGCATGCAATTCTCGGGAGTGTGCTCCCTAATTCCACTCGCCACGGCGACTGCACACCCCCACTGCTATAAAAGCCGCCAGCAATCCCCTGCCATCCTCAGATTCAACCATGCACTTTACTGCCCTCTCCTCTTTCACGCTTACTGCCCTCGCCCTCTTCCCCAGCCTCGCCTCGGCTGCGGCGACTCCCGTCGTCACCGACGCCGTCAACACGACGGCGATTGCCACTCAGCCTGGTGCTCTTGGGCTCACGCCGCGCAGCGGTGCAGGGGGGAACTGCAACGACTGGGGAATCTCCGGCACCGTCCTCTCCGCGCTGTGCAGAAACGACCAAGGCAGCTTCCAGAACGCCCGCGCGGACATCAGCCTCTGTGTGACCAACGCGGGCGGCAGGCTCGCCTGTCAGGTCAAGTACGTGCATGCTGCCTACTTGACCCGTTACTAGTACTGACATCCCACGCGACAGTGGTGGCGCCGGCGGGTCGTGCAACTTCTTCAACCTGAAGCAGGAGGGAAACAGAGTTTTGATCTCGGCGCACTGCGGCACGGGCGACGGAGGCAACCACGAGACTGACGATTTCGACCTTAGTAGGCGGTGTTTCTGGCCCGGTCCTCGCTGAGTTCTGACCTTTTTACAGATAACTGCTTCTCGGACAGCAACGGGGCGCTTAGCTGCTGAAGAGACAATGCTCTCATTCAAGTTGTCCTTAGCCGTGAAGGTTGTATTTGTGTCGCACGAATCGTGTTAAAGTTTGAGAAGATGGTGAAAAATCACATTGTGTTGAAAGCTGGTCTTAAAAACTGGTCCTCTCTCAGGCTGTCGTTGGCATTCAGTATAATGTGTGGTCCAGGTCTTCCTCTGCGCAGTTATTTTCCTCCACCCACGCGTACATAAGATAACGACTGAAAAAAGTTAATTAATCCATTCTTCCCTCCTCGACAAAACAGTACGTATGTAGGTATGACGTATAAGTAGACAGACATGGCTCGATCCCATCGTTTCACCATCTTCCATAGCCTTATTTTCAACCAAGCAAATCGTCGATTCCCCCACCTCCGCTACTCGAGCTTCCACCCATCGCACCAAACCCGCCGCTCACCCCCATCCCCATGGTCGGCTGTTTCGGTTTCGCTTGCTGTTGCTGCCCGCCGCCCCACAGCCCCGCATCGGCCTTTTCCTTTTCCAAATCCTTCATACTCTTCCCTCCACCGCTCGGCGTTGCCGGCTTGCTGCCGCTCCCCGCACCCAGCGACATCGACCACAAGTCGTCGAACCCACCGCCGCTTGACTTGGCGGCAGCGCTGGTGTTGGCGGTGGAGGGCGTGTTGTTGGCAGCTCGGGCGGGCTGGGCCTGAAGCGTAATGGGAGACATGTAGTTCGGTGCCTGGGCTTGTTGCGGCTGAATGGGAGGCGACGACATCGAACCGCCGTATCGGTGTCCTTGTCCCTGCTGAATTCCCATGCCCATTCCCATCGTGGTATTCGCAGGACCACCCAAGCCCAGTCCAATTGGCTTGGCGGGCTGCGCCATCGGTGTTGGTGTTGAGCCCATAAGGTCCAAGAAAGTAGGCTTTGTCGATGGTGCTGGCGCCGCGGGAGCTGGTGCGGGAGCGGCTTGAGTGGGAACAGTTTGAAAGTCCCCAAAGTCGTCGTCTGGAACGGTTGTAAGAGGGTGAATGCGACACCTGAAAAGAGGACCAACCATCGAATACATTAACAGGCGCCACAGGTTTAGTCAGCGTTTTAGCTGGGGGAGCTGGCGCAGGAGGTGAATTGAAGCTCCCAACGTCATCATCGTCAAACAAGTTAACGATGGGGGCGGGAGCAGGCGCCGGGGCTGGTGGTGGTGCGGCAGTGGTCGCAGTCGGAGCCGTGGACCTTCTTGTCGGAGGAGAACGACTGGTTGGGGTGGGAGCATTAAGCTCGTCACCACCCGCGTCATATTCGTCGAATGTCGCAGACCTTCGTTCGTCCCTGAACCCAGAGGAGCGACCACCACTACCACCAGAGCCAGAACCGTAGTAGTCTGAGGAGGTATTGACTCGCGAGCCGGATATGCAATAGAAAACTCACCATTTGACCCTCGATCTGCCGAACTACCACCGTAAGCACTAGACCCTCCACCATATCCACTTTCGCTTCCAAATCCTCCATAGCGAGAGCCATCGCTAGTTGTGAAGGAAAACCCATCGCTGCCGGTGCCCGTGTACTTGTTTTTATTTGCTTTTGCCTTGCGGCGCTCCGAGCGTATCTTGTCAACGTCGGAAAGTAGCTCCACGAGCTCGCGAGAGCGATTCCGCACTACTTTAGCGTAAGGAGGGCGGCCCGGTACTGGAGGGGGTACACACCGTTGATCCCTTCGTCTTTGCCCTTGTCATCGATGTAATGGAAGTTTCGCAGCATCTTGATAGTAGATACGTGTGAGCGGGCATCGTCTACGACACGCTCTGAGCCGTTCTTAATGAGGTATTCCAACAGCTGGAGCGACTGGAGAAGGCGTTAGTGATGTCTATGCAAAGGACAATGCTGACGACACACCTTGTAGATTTGCCGCCATTGTCGAGCCTCCTTCTCCATAAAGCGGGAGTAGATGCTGGGCATGATCTCGTTGAAGTCGGGGCTGGCGACGGTAAGCAGGAGGAGGGAATGGGGGAACGGCCATACTAGTTAAAGGTCCTAGAGACGGGTCAGCCAAAGCGAAAGAGAGAAGCACGTTAAGACACACCTATTCGCAATGTCCTGCATAAGCGTGGAGCTCGCACCCCTACGACGAGAGTCAGCAACACCTTCCCGACAACGACCAAGCGTGGTCTTTCCCCGCCCCGACCGCCAGCCAGCCCCGCCAGCGACCACCCCCTCCAGGCCCTAAAGCACCCCCATACGAGCGAGCCACTCACCAAGGGTCATCGTTCGTCGCCTCCCGCACCTTCGCCTCTATCTCGCTGACGTTGAGCACGACGTTCTTCGCCTTTTTCGCCGTTTTTTCAGCGGGGAAGGGGGACAGCGGGCAGGGCAGCGCACCTGATTGTACATGCTCTTGATGTCGTACATCGTGATCTGGGACAGCGAGTTTCCGAGCGCTTCGAGGCGGTCCATGGCGGGCAGACGCTGGGTGGGGGAGATGGCGCGGAGGGAAGGGTGAGGCCGGGAAAAGTGTGACGTCACGCGTTACTCGTCACATCTTTCCCTTTTGATCGGAGACTTTTTCGTCGACCTCGCCACCCTCGCGACCAAGCTCTATTGCTGGCGGAACCTTGTGCTATGTTGAAGATACTATGCAAACGAACCCAGGACGGCGAGAGCTAACTTCACCTGACCTGCTCCTCTTGGCGACGTCAAAATTTTCATTTTCTACCTGGGAATTTGCGAAGAGAACGATGAACACGTCTTGTTCTGAGGACGCGGCACTTGTATCGCTTTGAAAAGGTGGCTCATCGTCTTGTCAGCGCAAACAGCCCTGAGACATGGACCCACACTCCCGGGGTGACATACCTGATGAATCCGAGTCGTCACTCGTGATTCGGGCCGTCGGCACACGCGCAAAGAGTAGGACCCCTCATTAATGGGTGTGGCCGGGGCCCTTCTTGCTCTTGGAACTCTGATGATACCGGTACTGGGCCACAATGCTTAACTAGCTCGTTCGTAAGTCAAGTTGCCAATAGCATTCAGTTATTGAATCTGCAAATGCAATACACCGCGAAACACAGTAGTCAGCTTCGAACCGAGGCTATATTTAACAGCTAAGCGCTCCATTACTGTTCGAGAAGCAGTTGTCTGTAATATTCATCAGTATCCGGTCAAGAACAGGCGGTTGGCAGCAGGCCGCCGTCTCACTGATATCAAAATTGTCGGTCTCCTTGTTGCCTCCATTACCTGTCCCGCAATGCGCGGAGATCAAGACGCTGCTTCCCGCCTGGAAGAGGTTGAAAAAGCTGCAAGACGCGCCAGCGCCGCCGCTGCATGGCAATAAGCAGAAGCACACAGCAATGCAGGAACCGGCACTAACTTGGCTTGACAGAACAGGTTTCCGCCGCTGTTGGTTACACAGTTGCTGATGTCGGTGTGGGCCGTCTGGAAGACGCCCTGGACGTTTCTGCACAGCGCTTGGAGGGTGGTGCCGGAGATAGCCCAGTCGTTGCAGCTTTGCCCGGCCCCGCTGAGCGGCGTGAGCCCGAGAGCAGCGGTGGTGGTCGCCGTCGTATTGGGAGCGGTGACGACCGGAGTCGCTGCAGCGGCAGCAAGACTGGGTGAAGCGGCAATAGCAGCGACGAGGAAAGAGGAGAGGCCTGCAAACTGCATGTTCGATGAGCTCTGGGGTCAATGGGGGGAATGCCGCCAGCTTTTATAGGCACTGAAACCTTGCCGGGGCGAGGCCAGACCCACCGAACGGTCACGGCCATAGGACTGATATGACAGAGAAAAGAACCGCGGCGACAGGGACGTCGCACGCTCCCGAGACATGCATGTATCCGTCATGACGGCGATGGAGACAATTGGCTGTTCTGCTTACTAGTACAGTGGCAGGCTGGCAGCATCCGCACAAAGATATGATATATCAACGCGCTCTCAACCAATTGACCAATGGGGCATCGACTGCGGCAGGCAGCTTCGCTTCGCTTAAGAATCATGTATAAGTGCCCCTGCTCATGCCAGTGACACAGAAGCCTGTTTCCGTATGGAGGAAGAACGGCGAGCAAAGCAGGTGTCAGAGATGGGAGCTGGCAAGAGAGTAAGTGTGTCGGGCTCCCACAACTTGAATGAGCGAGCGGGACCTTACTACAGGACCAGGACCTTAGGGCTTGGTTTCTAAAGATTTTGAAGGTTATCAAACGGTTTGATAAAAATGGCCTCTGAAACCCTGTTTATAAACCGATTTTAGGTTTTATAAACCAACTGAGCTGATATGACCAGAGAGACCAAAATTTTCTTTTTTTGGAAATTTATGACAGAAATTTTGGCCTTTTGCTTTGAAGTCTGTAAGTTTCATAGACTGCAGGGGTTTTGAGAGAGAGCTAGAGCCCGTCAACTCTCACGTGTAAGTTAGTATAATATGTTTAAGTTATATATACCATATGCAATTTACTTCAAGTTATTAGAAGATTTAAAATAAACCCCCTGTCAGGGATCCTCTATATGACTTTGGAAAAAATCATAATGACAGCAATAGTAAGTAATCTGCATAGTGAGTATAGTCACAACATATGCGGTATGTAATATTATGGTCCTAATAAGCCAAAAACAAAGAAATCAATAATCACTTACATAACATCGATCTAGCTATACACAGTGATCAAACTTACTGATGGCCATCAGAAATCGTTCCACATTAGTCAACTTAGCTAGATAATCCCATCACTGATACCACTCTACAGGGCTTAAAATTAAAGAAATATCATCAAAGAACTCATCTTTTGCATTACCCCTCTGGGCACTGGCCCACATCTTTTGCATAGATACAGCTATATGAGCTGGTAATTATGCACAACAGACTGCATGAGGACATCGAATGGAGCCCGAGCAGGACGTCGTATGCTGGGTTTCGGACAATGTGGACCTGAAGGTATAGGATGATGTCGCGCAGCGTGAATGCCACGTTTCTCGCACCGCCGAGTGACGGAGTAATTGCTCCGTTAGCGGACTGCATCTGCAGGACAATAGTGGGATCATACTGCAGCGCCAGGCGATGGGAAAGCGCCTCCGACATTGCGCAGATCTGCGAGGCCGGGTCGACAATCGCCTGTACATACTCCTGGTTGTCCACAGCATATGGCGGTAGTTTCTATAACATGTTTTTTCATTGTTTATTAGAACCAGGAGCTTTTTGACCATTTTGGAGCTTTGTGACCTGAGCTTTTGTGACAAATTTGAGTTTGAGTTGGGAGCTTGGAGGTCACAGATTGAGTTGTGAGCTTTTAGAATGGAGCTTGGAGGTTGAAGATTGTTGATGTTCTGAATAATTTTGGGACAATTTGATTACATCAGGGCAACTTATGATTTTGTAGAAATACTGAAACCAAGGAGAATAATAATAGTAATAATGGTAATAATAAATAAAATTGGAATAATATATAGAAGACCAAGTGGTGACAATTAAGCATACAATCAAATTTCCTGTCTGCTAAACATGGTTAAAAGGGGAGTAGTCAATGTCTGCTATATTTGAGACCCCAATACAGGACCTGATTTGTCAGGGACAGGGCCGGCCCGGGCCCACGTGACGGTCTCCTGCCAGTCTGACAAGTGTGGGAAAGATGGTTCAACCCCCATAGCTGGGTGGTCGGCAACCAGGCAGCGTAGATGGTGCCACTGCTGCAATAGAGAGCAGGGTAGGGACAGCTCGGGGCAACTCGAGACGCCCCGCTGTCACGTTGTGTGACAGCGGTGTCACAGGATACAAGTAGTCATCTAGAGTGTCCTACCCCTGCTGAAGGGAACGAGTCCATAGCCAAAGAGTGCTGCCTAGTAGAGTTGGTGCCCAAGGCATAGGGCAAGGCATAGGCTGGGCCAGTTGAACAAGCCGTTCGGGCGGGGCGTGACGTAACGCGGTCACGCCCGACGGTTCGGGGGGTCGAGGGGAGTCGCCCCGCAGCAGGGGCTGCGGGCCCATATCTCCTTTCCTGGAGAAACGAGTCGCTGTGGCTCCTAGACACCGGCGTGACTGCGCGGTGTGACGCGTGACATGCGGGCCCGATCGGGCCCGCACCCTCCCATCGCAGTTGAACAAGCCGTTCGGGTGGGGCGTGACGTAACGCGGTCACGCCCGACGGTTCGGGGGGTCGAGGGGAGTCGCCCCGCAGCAGGGGCTGCGGGCCCATATCTCCTTTCCTGGAGAAACGAGTCGCTGTGGCTCCTAGACACCGCGTGACTGCGCGGTGTGACGCGTGACATGCGGGCCCGATCGGGCCCGCACCCTCCCATCGCCCCATACCAGGGGAACCCAGAGCTTGAGGCCAGAGAGCAAGAAGAAGTGGCTAGGACAAGGGTGAACATAAGAGACAAGAGCCTGAGCTGTCCAGCCCAACCAAGGGCTCAGGTCAATGAGGCAAGCTAGCCTGGAGTGTTGGAAGTCGTCTAGACGCCCCTTTCCTGGGGTATGGTCACAGCAACCCCGCTCTAGGGGACCAGGCCGGAGTAGGGTTCAAAGGAAGAGACTTCAATGCTAAACCTAAGGTACAGGAGTAATACTCTAGTCTTTATATACTGTGGGCGCTAGGGGCCGATCGGGCCCGCTGAGGGTCGATCAGAAGGGAGCAGGGGATGTCTCTGGTCGTCCCTGGTCGCTCCGCTAGGAGCCCAGGGACCATTCCTCTGGAAAGGAGCCATGCCAAAGTCGACACTAAGGAGTGTTTGGCAATGCAACAGTAAGGAGCTCCCTCCTGATCCCTGTGGTTGTCTGGGGCCGATTGGGCCCGCTGTCAAGGACGTCCGGCGGCGCATCATGATCCCTGATGGCGGGTCATGATGGCTTGATGGCTGACTAAAGCGTGATCCGTGATTATGTCCCTTCTCTGGGATATTAGTGTTGTTGCTCAGTGCTTTGAGCCTGTGAATATATGAGGGCTTGTCAAGCCCTAGGGCTCTAAGGGTGGTGAGGGCCCGTCGGGCCGTATAGGGCCCGACGGCCCGACCCGAACCGTCACATGATTTTTGGTATGATTTTTGGTGAATCTGATACAATTTTTGCAACTTTTATCATATATTAATCAAAGCAGCAAAGAAGACCATTGGTTTAGACCACTATTTCTTATATATATACATTCTGCTCAGGGGACCATTTGTTGGCTGAAACTCTGGTGTAACTAGCCTTTTAAGCTCTCCATATTGAAATATTAAAATAAAGAGGATAAGTAAGGACATTTATACTGATTTAACATGATTAAAAATTACTACCAGAAGCAAATTTAAGCCTTTCTGGTGAAACCCACTGTCAGGGGAACCCACACTTTGGCCTCCTTTGGACTATCCGAGCGCATCCGAGGGACATCTGACTGGCACCCCCTTGGATGCTCTGACACCGCGGGCAACCCTTGCGTCCGACAGCAAATGTCAGACATGTGGCAGACCTAGCGTCCGTTGAGTGTCCGGATGGCAAGGGCCCTTTGAGCTCTTTGTAGTCAGTTGTTAAGCAGTGTATTCAATAATTCAGTTTTTGATCCCCAGCCTGCCAAATCATTTGTGCCTCTGCCCGCATTGCAAACATGTGTGGTGATGCGTCTTTGTTTCTTTGAGATATGGACTCAGCTAAAAGGTAATGTTTCATCTTCCTGTTATTCATATGCCCGGCATACGAACAGCGACAAAACGCAAGCGCGGATCCGATGGCAACCAAGCCGATACTGAAGCCAGTGCCACTACTGGAGTTGGAGGATCTCCACCAGCCAAGCGTGGTCGACCTGGATGCAAACATGGCAGGGGCAGACATGGACAGCCCAGTCCAAGTCAGCCATCTCCAACAACCGCAGCCGGTTCATCCGCCACAAACACCGAAACTGCTGGTGGTACGACCGCTCCTCAGGCTCAATCAAGCAGTGGTGCTGGTGGAACAACATCCGCGGCATGCGGAGCTAGCGCAGAAGCACCCACCATGTCCGCTCCATCTTCAGCCGGTCTTATTGCACGTCGACATGCATTTCGCGCAACTCCAAAAAGTTATGAGAACTCGACAGCAGTGCGTGTACCAATTATATTTCTACCAGCCAACTAACATTTGGATATGTGATATAGCAAGCGTTTCGCAGCTGGGTGCGCTGTCTTTGTGGGCTCTTCAAGCAGACCGATGTTCTTGGCCGGGCAGATGAAGCAAAGGCATGGTACGAGCTTCGTCATAGCCATGTCGACAATCTTCAAGCTCATGTCGATGATCTAATCGTCCAAGCCAAGCGCCCAGTACAAGATGCTCTACGCCGTGCCCAGCAGTTGTTGTCTGCCGTTTCAGAAGCTAATTGGGAGACCAGAGAAAGGGGTGGCCGTGGCAAAATTGCAACTGCCATTGGCAGCATCCCAGCGGAGCATATCGCAAGTGCGTTTACGGCCATAACCCTGGCTGGTCTCAAGGCTTTCCATCCTGATGTCTTTGGACCGGCACAGTCAGACTACAACCAACTCCATCGCCATATTGCGATATCAACTTTCCAAACCATTACACGCTTCTTTGGATTTACTGAATCCTCGGTCTCTCTCGATATTGCTCTTGATTCGGTTTTTCTTACTGATGTCTATAATGTCTTCCTCGCCTCCACCCTTGGACCAGACAGTCGTGCGGAAGAGCTCAGACCTGGTGTAAATATTGAGGCTGCAAT